GTTGAAATTTCTAATGAAGGTTTCATTGGAAGAAATAATCGTGTCTATTTAATAAGCCTTTCAATTGCCGGAAAAGACATTAGAAGGAAAGAAGAAGATCGAAAGATGCCACCGAAAAGGGCATTTTCCATCTTGTTACGTTGACTTTTCGAGAGGAAGAGGAAGAATATCGTATACTTCGATTGTTATTTATTACATATTTATAGAAAATTATTCTCGTATCTTACGATAGTCGTTAAGAAAAACTCCCCCGAAGTAGTGGCGAAATTTTGCAGGTGTTTTCTTTCATTTAATTTCTTTAACACGTTACCGAATAAGTCAAGATAATTAATTATTCTGTCTGCACTTTCAAATGTCATTGAAGAATGGATCCAAATATTGTTTTTGAATTAAATGTCTGACATTTTAGTTTAATTAGATTCGTTTTTGCCTTAAATTTTGACATTTAAATTGCGATTTACATCGGTGGGGAATCGCGCGTAGTAGGCCTACTTACTACGAATGAGGTAGATTTCTATTTTTCTATTATACCGAGCACGTAAAAAGTATAAGTCTTTACTCAAAAGTATCTTATAAAATTTTCAGTTGTTATTTATGGAATTTAAATATTTGTAAGACGTCTACTGACACGAATCCCCCTTTTCTATTTGTGTCAGGGTTTTAGTGTTCTTGTTTATTTCTGTTTCTTTCCGAGCGATAGACTCGGTTCGTTAAGGCATCCTAAGCTAATCGAATGTCGAATATTGAAAAACAATTTATGTGACGTCAGCTAGTCTCTCTCTCTCTCTCTGGTGGGGATGACGATGATGTCAGGGGCAACGGACCATTGGAGAGAGAGAGGGGGAGGTGGACCTTGTACTTCTGTACTTATGTCGTAAACTACGTCTGTTAGTTACTATTTTTAATAAGTGTCTTGAGAATTTTGATTTGTATTTGCAATTAATTATCATTGTTAATCTACATTAATATTTTAAATATTCTGAAAGTACAGTTGTAATTTTCCTTATTTTTACCAAAAATTACTTGGTAAAATTTATGTAAAGTTGAAAAGATTTTGTCATTAATGTAAGGTTTTTAGATTCCGGAATATTTACTTTATAAAACACGCAATATTTGCACGAAAAATTCGGTCAAATAATGGAAATTGTAAACAAGCCGGGGGCATTGTTTACAATTGTTTACATTCTAACACTTGTAGTCTATATAGATTATACGTAACTGAGCGTGATTTGATATCGTTGGTAGTCACTTTTTTGTGTTTCTGGAGCCTTTTGTCTACTTCATAAAAGGAAAAGCTTTAGTAGAAAAATATAGCCTACGCGTACTGTACAATACTTGAGTGTAATTTGTATTTTTGTAAGGAATCGACGAATACGAAAACTACTTTTATTTTTTAATGTATTTGTAAATACTAGATGACGTACTGTACGATCCGTCAGGCACGAATAACAACGTAACAGTTCGCAAAATGGCTCGTTATTACGTCGTAAGCGCACCGACACAGCGCGTAATGTTTATCGGAAGCGATTAGCAATTAGACTTAACAATGTAAAGATACAGTCTAAGACGTTTAACTGTCTTTTACGGCTCACCAACAAAAAAATTTGGACACCCCATGATCTATATAACAGCAAGCGTGGAGAATTGTTACATTTAAACGACATCAAAATGGGTATAACGCGTGTAATAAATGATTTAATAATTAATAAATAAATGTTTGCATCCTTTTTCGAAAGCAAATTAAAATTATTAAATGTATTAGATTTAAATCAGTACTGTGATTAAGAAATTTTATGAATTATTTTATTTTTTGTATAAATTACGCTATCGTTGGATATACTTACATAGTGCTGGAATGGATATTTAATCAAATAATGCGTAATGGCGCTGATCCCAACCCCTAGTCATCCGAACAGCTCCTGCCATTCTCATAACTAAAATAATGATAATTGTACACTCGCAGTTGGCGTGTAAAGTAAACAAATCACGTGTTCTTTTCGTCATCCTCTTTGACGTAACAATAATTCCAACTTTATTTGGCCCCGTAAAATAATTTACAATAGTAAGAAATGACCCGAAAGTGTAAGTATCATATCCACGTTAATCCGAATTGCCAATTAGTTCGGATTAGCGCCACCATATTGTTCTGCCTTAATTTACTATATTCGCGTAGTACTACCTTAAAACGAATACTGATACTACCTCACGTACATTTTAGTGTGTAATTATATATCTAGAGTTACGTAACGCTGCATTTACATTTGTTATTGTATAATTCCCCATTGTAGTTTCGTACATCGCGATATATCGTACAACGTAAGCCGAACTGAAAACTTTTTGTAAATTTGACCAAGTTTTAACCTATTGTCTACAGAGGATACCGCGAGTTATCAAATGGGCATATATTTAAGAATTATTTATCGTTATTTTTGATGTTTTTTAACCGATGGATTCATCGATAAAAGTGAAAGAAGTGTTATTTTATCAAAGGGCGCTGTATGACTATAAAGTCATATGACCCGTTTCCTCGTTACACAATCCAATATAATCCGAGCAAAGAATAATTAACACTTAACGAAGTGTGCGTCGTTATTAGTCCGTGTTTAATATTTCTGTTATTTCTTTCGTCCGACGATGTTTGTTACGAAATTCTTCTGGTGACTTTTTATTCTCGTCACGTGTTTGCTCTTTGTCAAAGATACCGACGTCGACGGACTATTTTAATCTGCCCGATTTCTAGTGTTTCTTTTTATTTCTTATTGCCTTTAAAACTGAAATCGACGTTAATAAGATTCGATTCCTGTTTTGATCCGAACACGTGTGAGCTCTGGTGTTCTTGTGGATCGTCTGATCTTTACATTAAGATTTGTAATTTGATTATTATTTGCTTATCTGTTTATTTACCGAAATAATACATTAGACGAACGTCTCTTTTTTTAATACCGTAATACTACAGATGCAAAATAGTCAGGAAGACTCTCCTTTATGCAGTTTAGAAAATCTGCAAGTAAATTAAATGCGAAATCTCTGTACGATATTTTTGAATTTGTTTTTGTATTAATCTATAATTATTCATTTTTTTATATCCTCTATTTGTCAGTTCTCAAAATAAATAAAAGAATATACCATCGATCTCCGATTCGGAGACGGCGACGACACCAGCCAGAGTCGTAGATTCAAATAAATAATTTCGTTTTTTGAATAGCAGATATTTTCCAGTCATTAATTATCTACAAACCTAAGTATTCTGGAAAATAAATTTGTCGTTGCGTAACACTACGCGAGTGGCTTCGAAGCACCAAAAAACCGCCATTAAAATTGATTTCTCACAAAAAATTCCTGTTTAAACAACATTTTTAATGTATTGTATTGTATTTTCTAAATTTCTTTCCTCTTTATTTATTTATTCATTCTTTCTTTCATATTGATACGTTTTTGCCTTGTGTTAAATTATAGCAGAATTGAACATAACTTTCAGTCTTAATTCTGCTTATAACGCGGTTTCAGAATTGTGAAATTTCTTATTCTTCTTTTTGTTTCTGTTTTTTTGTGTTCTTTCCTCGCAATCTTTCGCTCCATTCAGTTTTCCTTTGTGCCAATTATTCTTATTTGTCTTTACGATCTTACAAAATTCCTTACTTCGATTTTAAGATCGACGTTCCGCCGCATACATCGGTAGTCATTACATTATACGGGAAAGTAACTAGGCATGGAGAAATTGCTATAATTTGTATACTTTTAAAGCAACGATGATGAAAATCATTTGACACGCATCTTATTAAATGGAAATACGGATGGCTACCTTAAAATTCAATTTGGGCGCCGGCGCTATTCACCAACTTTCTGAAAAGACCGGAGATGGTGATGTGGACGGACGGCCACTTCTCTCTGCGTTCTCCACCGAACCCGCGGTTGTGCTTCGAATGACAATTCTCTGTTGTTTCTGGACAGATTGCGGCTCGACGTTTCTTCACCAGCTCTGTCTGGCAACCACCGATTCCCACACCTCGTAGCGTGCAGCAATCTGCTCTCGCTCCCGAACAGACGAATGGTCGGCCATCTTTTTTACCACCGCGCGTGCGGCCTCTCTCGGTCATTACTCACACCATATATACGATAAATTATAAAATTACATTGATTGATGTACGTTATACGTAAATTTTATTACCGTGGCATTATTATTACAAAAATTATAATGATTTCTCAATGTCTAGTTACTTTTTAACCATTTTGTAAAATAAATTCTGCCTAGATATTAGATCGTGTGTAAGTTATAACTTACACAAGTGATTATTCGTTAAAATTGTCTACGTAAAACGCCGAGCCTTACAAATGTGTTTGCGCGTGTTGTTTTTTCACATTTTTTTATTTTATTAATCCGGATGATATTTTTCTTATTCATCCCGGATAATCGATACTGCATATTCGTAGCATTCGGACTGTTTATTGTTTCGTTGTATAAGAAAGGAAGTAATAATATATATAGCCTATATATATATATATTATTGGTATAAATAACGAACAATGGAATCTAAAACATTTTATTTAACATTTAACATAAATATATGTATATTAATAAATATAATATAAATAAATATAGCCTATATATATATACAACACATTTTCTATAATAATTTTCAATTTTAAACGTAATTATAGTAGTAATTTGGCCTTAAAATGAAATATTTAATTGGAAATTTCCTTCCTCACCACTTCTCTAGATTTCTTGACCCTCTCTTCCCGACTTCATATCTTATAGCATCCTTCTTCGGCTTCTCGCTTCCATATTTTCCTTCATCTTCCTCCAAGAGGAAAATTAATAATAAGTCCAAACTTCAAACTATTTTATATTTATATTTGAAATGATTTAAATCGATTTTATGAAAGTTTTTCTTTTATAATTATACGAATATTTATTTATCTATTATTTAAAATATAATTTATAATCTCGCTTTTAATAATAGTATTTACACATATTTATTATTATTCTTTGAATATAGTGGTGTTACATGGGAAAATGCACCGTAATAGGAGAAAGATTGGAAACTATCAACGGAGAATGGGGATCTTGGAGTCCGTGGTCCGAATGTTCTCGATCGTGTGGTGCGGGCGTCATGCATTCCGAAAGACACTGCGACAATCCTATGTACGTATTTCTTTCTTAATATTCTAAATAAACAGTCAGAAATCTAATAAAACCTTTATAGATACTTTAACCCGATTACTCCTTATATTATAAAATAATCGATAGCAATAGAAGTAAAATTTATATTATTTTCTGCGAGGTTAAAGATCACTGGAACGTACCGACATTGCGTGTAAGCTGGCCAAAAGTAGGTCGGCCGTACAACAATGAAATAAAATACAACTGTTGTTCTGTCATTCGCGTTAATAGAATGATATTTGATCCGAAGTCTGACCACGTTGTGGCAACGGAATTGGGATTTCCATCAAGCTAATCGTATTACGTCTTCGCCAAATCCGGTCGAGCTTTCTATTAACGTAAATACTAATTTTGATAATTATATCCACAGATTGAAATTTAAAAGTGATCATTTTTCTTACTGTTTCTTAACCATTCCTTCTATGATGTTGGGACTTAAAGTATTTTAAATCCTGCCTCGACCACGTGATAATCAACGATACATTACCCTTTACTAATTTATCTCCTCTAATTCTGTTCTTATTAAGATAGATATCTGTGTTATCTTTCAACGTCTGTTTTGGTTATTGCTGCGGTTCCCTGGCATGCATATTTTCGTTCTTGAGTGCTTTTGGACTGATGTACTGCAATCGATAATTCGCATCTGTCTACTGTCGTTCTTGTTTGTTTCTTTTGCTTTTTTATCTTTATGTATTTTTGTGTCACGTCTGGTCCCGTAAACTCAATTCATTTGGTGCCGACAGAGATGTTCGACTAATCTGTTAAATCCAATGACTTAAGCTTCGCTGATTCTCTCGGTTTATTCTCCTTCTTACCATTTTTCTTACTCATTTCTCATTGTAGAAAACATTAAACAAAATGTGGAAATCAAAGCTAATGATATTATCTATCGACGAAATGCAAAAACTAATTAACTTTTTTTTATAATATTAAGTATATTTCTGAAATTTAAATATATTAAACATAGTATTTTGTAAAGTTTTGTATGTAGGATACATTTTTACACTCTTCGCCAATTGTGTTTTTATTCATTAATTTATTCGTTATATTCTTATATAATAAAAACACCAGAAGATTAATATATCTTTCCTTAATCGTGTTTCTTTACAGATGATAAAATTATTTAAATAGTATAATATTAACTGAATATGAGTGTAGAGGCTAAATCATTTCATGCTCATTCATTTATTTTAATGTTTTATGTACTGAATACATTTTGTTTTTATGGGAAGTTTTAATAATATTTAATTTAGTTTTGCTTAACTTTTGATTTCTTTTATTTAATTATGTTATGTGTAGTGTATATATATAATAGCCCGAGAGAGCCACTCTCTGTGTATATATACAGAGCGTGGTCCTCTCAGGGATTTGTCAGTGTTTTCTTGTGTAATATTGATGGAAACGTGATTAAATATACAGTAGTGGCCAAAAGTAGAGCTACCCTTGACATATGTTTTAAAAATGCCACTTTTATTTTGTTCACCACCTACTACATAATTAATATTGTGATAGTCGAAAAGAACACACAAAAAGAGTGAAAATACTCAATTAACTCAAACAAATTATATTTTAAATCTGATTTACAAAAGAAAAAACAAAGTTTTTATATTTTACACTGTGACAAAAGTAGAGCTACCAAAGAAAGTATGCAGATCTGTCTAGTATTGTTAGGACAAAATATTAGTATATTCTATGAATTGGACCAATTCCCTTTGCAGAGAAACATCCCCATACCATTATGCAGCCATCACCATGCTTTATTATAAGAACTATGTATTTTGGGTCATATCTCGTGTTCACTGGTCGTCTGACATGTCGTATACCGTCACTAGAGAAGACATTGAATTTAGATTAATCACTCCATAACACCTTGGACCATTTTTGTTCGGTCCAAGTGATGTGTTCGTGTGCAAACTCTAACCTCAACTTTTTGTTTTTTGCAGAGATGAGAGTTTCTTTGCTGGTCGTCTCCCATGTAATCCAAACTAGTCAAATGTCTTCATACAGTCCTTCAGCTTATATCTGGGTATAAGCTTATATCATGTATTAAATGTGAAGGGGTTACCCACTTCACATTTAATACGTGAATCAGCCAAACAAAGGTTGACCGCACTCGTATGCCAGATAAAATGATCCAACCGTGGTGTTGTTTTTCATGGTCTACGTGACTTTTTGGCAGAAACAATGGTCCCATATATTTCAAAACACTTTAACAATTTCTCGCGACAACAGTTTTATGCACATTAAAGATTTTACCAATTTCAGTAAAGGTCTTTTTTTTCGTTCAAATGCATATCTACCATTCTTTGTTTGATATCATTTGATAATTGTATTCCTCCAGACAACTCAGTTGATTCAACGGAACGTAAATGTGATGCAGTGATCAGAAGCTCTGGTTATGCCACAAAATACTAATATTTTGTCCTAAAAATACTGGACAAATTTGCATATTTTCTTTGGTAGCTCTACTTTGGCCACTACTGTATATATAAAATACGCATTTTTTTAAATTTAATGATCAATAAACCCATTATATTTTTTAATTTGTTATTTATTTTGATTTGGTTTTATCATTTTAGGCCCGGAAATGGCGGACAGTATTGTATCGGAGAAAGGAAAAGATATAGAATATGTCAAACGGAGGTAAAATGTTCATAGAAATCGCTTGTATAAATTACTTACGAAAAATAAAATGATATTTCTAATTTCAGTTAAATTCTACATTTTTTCTACAAAATTTAACATTTATCTTTTAGCCTTGCCCGGAAAATTCGCCGAGTTTTCGTTCGGTGCAGTGCAGTGAATTCGATAACATACCTTACAAGGAGCAGCTGTACACCTGGCTCCCAGTTTCTACGCCTTGTAAATATTTTAAATGTTTATTAAATATAATTTTAATAATAATTTATGAGAATATTACACACAAATATATGAATTTCTATTTAACATTCTTACTTAAATGCAATAAACAAAAAATTTAAATACGATTTGTGAAATTTATTTAATAGTGCTCGAATAAGACCTTTAAATATAAATTTGATTATTCATTTTACAATTTACGTCATCATAATTTATTCGAAGGATTTCATTTTTCTTCATTTAAGTGGAAATTAAATAATCTAATTAAAATTCGGCGTATTAATTTTACAGTAACGCCTTGTCAGCTGCATTGCAAGCCGAAAGGAAAGTTTTTCTCTGTTATGCTATCGGATACTGCGAAGGATGGTACACCCTGCAATCCCGGTACAAATGACATGTGCATTAATGGAAAATGTAGGGTGAGAAACTTTTTTATCTACGTAATTACAGTGTAAATATATATCTATATCCATAATTAACTATATAAACATGTTCCTCACGAGTTAACATTCGGTGAGGAATTTTAAAGAAAAACACTTCGTAAATGCCATTAGACACGACACAAACATTTTAAAACGTTACTTTAAACTGTTTTCGAGTATATTAATTGATATCGAATGGACTGAAAATTCAATTATTCGACGGAATTAGCTCTGAAAGTTTATTATTAAACTTTTAAACAACTTTTAAGAAGTGAGGCTTTATGATTCTTTTACATACGCTTATCGCTTATGTGTTTATAAGTTATATAACAAATGTGAGTAATTAGTGCATAATGTTAATTTATAATAATAATAATTTACACACAGTTTATTGAACATACGTATTGTGCAAATCACGAATTTATACATTAAATGAATGTTGTCGTTTCTTGAGATTATTATATTTCTTGAAAACAATAATAATTTACATTAAAAATCTATGAGAAAATTCTTTTAATGTTTTCATCGCATTAATCTTGCTTCTGTGTAGCCTATTTGCTAAGCTATTAAATTGAATATTTAATATTTTATTTGCGAGACAATTTCGCATTTCAAATTAAATTCGCGGTTGATAATTCCAATTTCACCAAATTTTTGTTGTAATAAACATCACCAACTACTGAGAAATAATTAAATGTAATAACGTTGTCACGTTATCTTCTGAAATTCCCTTTAGTTCTTTTTAGAATTTATTGTCGAAAATACCCAAAACTAGCTTTATTGGAGTATTAACTTACAATAAATGAACACCATAAACATATAATATCGAGCCTCTTGATTCATCGTTTAGAAGGCTCAAAATTATACGTTTATTCTATTTATTTATGCTGCTTCTCTAATCAAATGAGTTTTGGATATTTGTAGAGATTGGAGATGGTTTAAGTATGGTTGCGAAATTAAAACATATAAAATGTAGACTTTAATGTACGGTTTTTAGAGATTTTCAAGATTACGCGCTGTTAGAGGTTATAATTTTCGAAACTTCTATCGAATTATGATCGTAATTTCTTTGTAATAAATTCAAATGAATAACACTCAAGATTTATAAGAGGGGAGTATCTATTTGCTTGACAGATCATCGGCTAACGAATTAATTTAATTGTACTGTACGTAACTTATTCGTGTTTGATATTATAACTAAATATTATATAATGCTTTTCATACGTGCAAAGCGTTAATTTATATAAAGTTACAGATATTAAAGATATTTTTACAAATCGATTTAAATTTAATAAGACGTTAATGTGGCCATTGGACCACTTTACACTATTTCTTAACTATTTAGTTATCATTAATAAAACGAGATGTAGACTTAGAAATATATAAACTTGCACATTTGATAAGCACAGAAATTATAAACTTAATTTAAAAACGAAGATAACGAAATGTTACAGCACTCGCTGTCGGTGCAGATAAAACTATTTGTCATTAAGAATTAGATTAAAATGCTGACTACAAGAAATTACATCAAAAATTCGATATTTCAAGAACAAATGTATACGCGTTAAAGAAAATTTGGAAAGAATTAGAAGATTTATTCGGCATTTTAATAATACGAATCGTCTAGTATTACCATCAAGAAGGATTAATTTTACAATAACTTGTACTACGATAGAGATTAATTTTTATACCCTCGTGACCTCACTACTTACACTAATCGAATTGTCCAGTAATGAGGAAGTCGTAGTAATGCGACCAAAAAAGAAAAAAAAAACTATTGATATGAGTATTAAAATATAGGGGCCAAAATATATACACAAAAATCACTTAACCGTTGTGAAAACTAAATTGCTGTATTATTCTAATGCATGTTTCTAACAGAATTTTTATGTAGTTTTTTTTACTATTTTTGTGAATTTTAAATTTAATTTAGGATTCGTATTCACAAGTGTACGTGGAACATACAAAACAAAACATGATAAACTTTAATTATTAGGCTACTCTGTACTAATTGCTAAAGCTTTAACTGAGATCGCTAAAACACATGTTTATAATTATGTAAAAAGAAATACATTCAAAAAGAATGTCAGAAACACTGTAGATTGATTGTAATTAGTTATTAAACCTTATAAATTATTTCCTTCGTTAAGGAAAAGTAGCGCTGGGTTCTAATACGTTTTCTTAACGTCTCTTTGTTTTATCACTTATAACAATTTGTGGAACAAATGATAAAATAATGATATCGTACTGCGTGAGATTATCAAATATTTAATTTAAATAGTTTTAATTTGTTGAAAATATTTCAATGTTTATCTACAGTTTATCATTTGAAGTCTGGATAGCGCGATGAATAGTGTCTCGACTACGAAGGACTTCTATAATTAACAAGTTTTCTCTATTTACTCCATTGAATACTATACTATGATGCCAAGTTCTGTGTATTTCAAGTACAGACTTTATCTCGAAAATACACAAACAAGTCTTTAAAACTGTTAATCTTAAAATGTTAGTATTACTAGTCTAGTTTACTTCTATCTTATCACAAATCCTGAATTATTTGACAAATTGCTGATTTACAGTAAGAATTACTTCTCTTTTCGTTATTTTCGTAGGTTTCTCTCGAGGATCTTTACGAACTCTTCTATTGTTTAAACAATACATTAACGATATATTAGAATTAGAAAGTAATGAACACATGCGTTTTCCTGGGTTAGTTATTTAAAGAAATATTCTTAGTTTGAGAAACAAATCATCCAGCAACGAGTTACTTAACTTTCCCGGAGAAAAACAACACTATGACATTAGTTTCAAAGTTAAAAAAAATGTCCTATGGTGGTGTAATAAGTCTAGCGGTAAATTAAGGCCAATCTTAGTGCTAACAAGTCATTAAAAAAATTGGTACGAGACGTTATTAAAAAATAACTTTTATGTTATTAATTATTATAAAACGGCAAAAGCTTAATTTTAAAGGTAGAAACGAATTTTTAAAAATATCGTGAATGACAATAACGAGTAAAATTTTCGTTAAGTCCGACCCGACTCGAGATACGACACGTGACTCCTCCTATCTCTCCACTCCCGAGGCGGTAATATTCTATTACGCCAAAATTTAATACTGTAGCTTCAATACCTCTTATATAAGATACTAGTTACCGTGCCAAATTTCGTTTCTTAACCTTTACCTTATAACTGTTAGGAATGTGGCTATCACGTGCGAACGTTTGGCAAGATGTGGTGTACAATGACACTGCTTACTCTCGTTTCCTACGACCCTTTGGATACTTATTACCTTATTCTTTTGTAACGTTCTTATGACTGTACCTCTTCCATGAATAAACACGTATAAAAGTTTTATCCGTCTCCCTTTTTTATCCTTGCTGGCTCAATTTATCCAAAACCATCATCAAATTCTCAACAAAGGGTTATGGGCCCAGTAATGTTTTTATAATTTTTTTGTTCGGTGTGATACTGGATTTATATGCGATTTGGTGAGATATCCGAAAGGCAACGTTTGAGATGGATGGAAAATTTACAAATTATTTTGGAAGTCGACGAACCCTTTACGAAGGAAGGGTTCGTAAAGGGTTGGTTCTCTTCAAAAACTGGATGGTTCATCTAAATATATAAAATTGCTTGTCTTGACTGACTGACTGACTGACTGACTGACTGACTGATTCATCATCGCCCAGAGCAAACCGCTTAACCTAGAGAGGTGAAATTTGGTAGACAGTTAGGGTACGTCATGGAAACGCACACTAAGAAGGGATTTTTCGAAATTCCCCCGCGGGGGGAGAGGGAGAGGATTAAGGCTTAACCGGAAAAACGGCTTTTACTGTACTATTTTAGATGCGATTTTTTGTTTTTATGTGCGTTGTAGTAGGGTATGCCATGAGAATGCACACTAAGTAGGGATTTTTAGAAATTCCCCCGCGGGGGGTGATGGAGAGCATTGAGTCTTAACCAGAAGAACGGCTTCTACTGTACTATTTTACATGCGATTTTTTGTTACGTTTAGTCTTCATTAAGTACTAAGTGTATTAAATTAATAACATTTTGGACATTGTTATAAATATTTTTATCTATTTCTATTTTTAAAATGTTCGAACCGTTTTAAATTCGAATTTGTTATTGCATATTGATTCTATTATAGAACGATTGTAAACGTTCCAGAAAATTGATCAAATTGAAAATAGTTGGTTTGATTCTCGGCAATTCTCGTCATTGTCGGCGGTAGGTGTTATATAACAATTACTATGGTTGTTAAAATACTGAATATAAATGGAGTTTGCTTGCAAAACCTCCGCGGGCGAAGTCGCGGGTAACAGCTAGTAGATTATATAAAAATAAAATTGGAAAGCGTCAACATTTGAACTGATATTTATTTGAAATTTTGAAAATATTTCCATATAATGCTTTATTCGATTTAATTTATTTGCCCCCGAGTGTTTCCTTGTCAAAAATATATTCTCCCAGCCCCTTTCCCACTCGGTTAAGACTGCTAATATAATCCGCCAACTTTTTGATGTCTTCCACTTGTTGCGGCAGAAATTCGGATTCCAGAAAGTTGCAGGTCTGCGCGTCTCCGCACTGGCTGGCCACTTTATGTATGTCGAGAAGCGACCGATTAACTCGTTTTTCTAACTTTAGCGCTTCCGACATGGCCTCTACCATGGATCCCCATTCGTTCTTTTCCGGCTTTTTCACGTCTCGAAGCTCGATACGACCCCCTCGGTCGTTTAAGTATTTCATGAATTTTTCGGCGTGTTCCTGCTCTTCGTCGCTGCACTGTTTGAAAAATTTGAAACAACCGGCCAGCGCTACGTCGTCTCTCTGGAAGTAATAAGCCATGGACGAGTATGTGTATCTAGCGAACAGTTCCTCGTTGATTTGTCGATTGATGGCGTCTTCGCACTCTTTGGGAAAATTCTGTCGAACCAGACAATTACTTTCTTTCCTCTGGTTATTTTCGCTGTCTTTTCCGCTATTTTCCAGACTTCCGTCTTTTTTCCATTCGCTCGACCTATCCGCATCTTTATTTGCTGTCTGGTCGGTGCTTTTAGGAATTTTCTGTTGGACGCCAATCCGAATTTCTGCCATGGCTTAGTAAAGTTATTTTTTTTAACGTAGTTATTGTTAATAATATTGTTTATAACTTATTGTTTATACTAGAAACAATACATTTACATTTACTATTTCGTTCTTTGTTGGCCTACCGGTGGCGGAGTGGATAAAACCACCCGATACCGGAAGTTGTTGGCCGGTTGGCGCCCGGATAACGGGTCGGCCGCCTACAGTTTTCCGGGTTGTTTTTACATTTATAACGCCTAACGAGTGGCCAGTTTTTATTAAAAGTCCCGTAGGGAGGCATCGTCCTAGTTTGACCAATCTGCACTAAATTTTTCATACATAAGGCTTAACCGGAAGAACGGCTTCTACTGTGCTACTTTAGGTGCGATTTTTTGTTTTCGTCTACATTTAGTCTTCATTGAGTACTTAGGTGTATTAAATTGATAACATTTCAGACTTTGTTATAAATATTTTTATCTATTTCGATTTTTAAAATGTTCGAACCGTTTTAAATTCGAATTTGTTATCGCGTATCGGTTCGATTATAGAACGATTGTAAACGTTCCAGAAAATTGATCAAATTGAAAACAGTTCGTTTGATTCTCGGCAATTCTCATCACTCTCGGCGGTAGGTGTTATATAACAATTACTATGATTGTTGAAATATTGAATGTAAATGGGGTTTGCTCGCAAAACCTCTGCGGACGAAGTCGCGTGTAACAGCTAGTCTAATATATTATCATGGCAATTCAACGTAAAAATGCTGTTGATGAAGGAAGATCTGTGGGCAGCAATCGAGATCCTACGAAGGAAAAAAAGTTGTGATCGCAGGACGTTAGGAACGATAGCCCTAACAGTAGGGGACTATATCAAAGTCGATTTTCAACATTGAACAAGTGCCAAAGAAGCATCGGATACTATAGCAAATCTCTACGAAGATAAGAGTATGCTGAAAAGGCTACAGATAAAAACAGAACTATATTACATTGATTATAACACCTGCTCAGGTATGGCCGCTTATATTAATAAAATACAAACTCTTATTGACCAATTGAGGAAAATCGGTTATACAGTTGATGATTAACCCCAGTTGCAGTTTAAAGCTAAACTGCTGCAACAGGTTGCCAGAAAAAATGAATGCAGTAGCACTAATGACTCAAATGTGTTTAGTGCAACAAGAAGCCGTTTAAATAGAAGAGGCACTACTATAAAACAAAAACATGACTATTCAAGAACTTTTATTGGAAAATGCTTCAAGTGTAACAAATATGAACACAGAGCATCGCAATGTCACAGTGAAACAAATCTGAACCAGAAAAATCGTATAATGCTATGTTCAATTATAAACAAGTGTTGACGCACATAACTCTGACTAGATAATAGACATAGGTAGCGCTCATCATTTAAGTTATTCTCGTGGGGTTTTCGTAAACTTTAGACCTGCTAATTACGTGATAAATGTGGCAATTGATTCAAGTTTGAGGATAGCGGGTGAAGGCGATATATCCTTGCGCTTAAACGTGAAAGGTGTACCCTTTAATTGTATACTAAAAGATATTTGGTGTGTCCGAAGCGACTGTCAATCTGTTATCAGTAAGCCAGCTTACCAAGAGAGGCTCGAGTACTCTTTTTTATGGAAATAAATGTGTCATCAGAAATGGCGAACTTATGTATGCCACAGCGAAGAAAATAAATCACTTATATGTACTGGATACATATAAAAACATTGTTAATGTAGCTAGTTCGCAAAGTAAATATTGGTTATGCACAAACGAATGGAACATCCAATTGAACTACCATGAAACATATATTAAAAGAGAAACCAAACAGCGTCGACTACAAAACAGTACCGAATGAAGTTTGTAATGTGTAGCCCTATTGGAGTGAATCACTTGGAGGTGCGAAATATTTGCTGACTTTCATTGACGATTATTCGGGATGGATCCGTGTATATCTCCTAAAATCAAAAGGCGAAGTACTTAATTGTTTTATAAACTATAAAAGATCGGTAGAAAAGCAAACAGGTAAACGAATAAAAAACCCGCGAACTGATAAGGGTGATGAATATGTGAATAGTCAATTTAAAAGCTTTTTAAGTAAAAAAAAAGTTCACCAGCTTACTTCTCTGTACTCACCACAACAGAACGGAAAATCTGAGCGGAGGAACAGAACTTTATTAGAAAAGGCCCGTTGTATGTTGCTCGAGGATAATATTCCAGTACTGAGGAGAAAGTGTATTAACAGCAGCTTACATCGTCAATCGTATTCCACAAAAGAATGGAAATATGCCATATGAGAAATGGTTTAAGCGAAAAGTGAGTTTAAGACATCTTAGAGTATTCGGATGCACAGCTTATGTACTGTACTGGACTGTACGTATCCATAAGGTACAACGAAAGCACAAGTTTCAAGCACGAACACGAAAATGCATCTTGCTTGGTTATTCGCCCACCATGAAAGCGTAAAGACTGTATGATCCCAGCAACAAGTCCATTGTGATATCACGAGACGTGAAATTTAATGAAATATCAAGAAGAGCTACAGCTGACAAGAAACAGATAGAAACCATTCACGTATTCCCTATCTCTAGTTCAGATGAGAAAAAAAAAGTTCAACACAGATGAACATCAGAGGTCAACGGGGGCTGATTCCCAAAGTGAAGACGATAGACAACATGACGATACTCAATGTATCAAGTTGACTCTACGATCTCCGATGATGAATCTGAGGAGTACGAGTACAAACAAGAGAAGAACCACTCATCTGTATCGACAACAAGAGCTCGATTAAGGAGAAATGTTGGACCACCACAAAGATACGGCAATCCAGTTGTCCAGTTGAAGTAGGTCAAGTGCCTTTTTCATATATGCAAGCAATTAAGAACCCAAATTTAAAGACTGGATTAAAACTAAAAGACTCGGGGTCTTTAAAATTCTTCAAAGTACATCTCAACTGAAAATTGCCTGCAGATATATTGACAAAGACACTCGGTCCTAATAAACACAAGAAATGTTATAAACTATTGGGTCTTAATATTCATTAATATGTTAACTGTTATCATCGACCTTTGGCGACGCGACAGTCAAGCGGGGGTTTGTTAGGAATGTGGCTGTCACGTGCGAGTTTGGCGCCCGAAAGGCAGGATGTGGTGTACGATGACACTGTTTACTCTCGTTACCTATGACCCTTTGGATACTTATTACCTTATCCTTCTGTAACGTTCTTATGACTGTACCTCTTCCACGAATAAACACGTATAAAAGTTTTATCCGTCTCCCCTTTTTATCCTTGCTGGAGCAATTTATCCAAAACCACCGATAAACTTCCCAACAACAACGAGACATTAAACGAAGTATATACCAACACACACATCCATGGAATTTTTCCCGTTTTGTTGACTTTTAAGGGTCTCAAAACGTCGATATTTGAAAAGGGTTTAATTTAACACTGTTCCTTTATTATGTATAGCCTACATTACAGCCGGGAAAGTATTAATAACACTATTAGTGGAAGTTCATTCGCTCTTATTTGCTCGGTTTAGCCTATATGTTAATGTTTTTTACACGTGATTTAGAACAATTAGATTTAATATTTATTCGACGTATTCATCGTTTAACTCTATTTAAAACTAGCAAAGAATGCTCGGGGTTGCTGGGAAACTTAAGGATAGGTATTACAATTTTTGTGTTACTACACAATTGAATAGGGTTGAGTTGTTATAAGGTAGCGTACGTTTTTCGCCGAGTGGCATAGAGCAACTATGCAAAATTTCATGCAAATCAGTCAAAGGATTTAGCAATTTGTGGCGATGAAATCAGGAGAAAGAGTGAGAACTTAATTTGTGTAGGTAGATACTGTATAAGAGTAATTCTTATTTTTAAATAATGGTACGGTAGGATTAATACTAAAACAGCGAACACACGAAAATACTGTAGACCTAAGAACAAAAGTTTAATTTCATGTAAGGGAAGTAAATTCGCTTCTTATAGTTGTAAGTATGTGATAACGTAAGGATATTATTATAAGAAAGGAACGACCAAAACAATATAAACAAAATAAACTTCAGCTACCCGAACTGCACGAATCAAAATCCAAATCGAATAGATAAGAGAATACGTTTAAAAATGCCATTAGTCGGAGAACAGTCAAACGATAATACGACGTTGCCAAACAAATGCTGCGGTAAAAACATCTTTCTCGAGTATTTTCCTTTTTTAATATAAAAGTAGTTTATATCCCAGGTTCATCTGAAAGGAATAATCTTTCCAATAGCAAAGAATTTAAAAAGTCGGTTCGTTATATTCCGAGATTACCTTCAGCAAACAAACATTCTCACTTTATTTATTATAGGGGAGACCGGGGCAAGATCGGCATGTTAAGCTTTACTTAAATTTTGTGTAATAAATACTGTTGTAAACTGAAAAAAAAGCTTTGCATATTGTCTATTGGAATGTTACCTTACTATAGAACTGGTTAAAATCAGTTTGGAAATAAAAATAATTAAAATAATTACAACTTTACAAGAAGAGAGAAATTGACGAAGTTGCCCCGGGTATAGGGGCAAGATCGGCAACTTCTCTCTTTTTGTAAAGTTGTAATTATTTTAATTATTTTTATTAAAGTTGCCCCTGGTATAGGGGCAACAGTAATGGGGCAAGATAGGCACGTATATAAAATTATGTTATTAACAATGTATAAGTTGGAATTCACTATTAAAACAAAGAAATACAAATCCAACACCCATTTAATATTATTACAACGAAATGCAAGTTCAAAGACATATATACATGAATAACAAATGCAAACATGTTTTCATTTATCATCTGTTTGATTTTTATCCTTTGCTTCTAATGTGGCTTTATGTTGCCGATCTTACCCCGCTAGTCATGATTTCGAAACATTAAGTACAACCCTGAGAACAGAATGCCAAGCCACGATCTGGCCACGTGAATAAGTTGAAGTTACATCCTTCTAACAGGAAAAGTAACTTTCGTTATCATGGAATTATAACAAAACCTGCCAATTCAATATAAATGGAAAAAAAATATTATATGGAATTGAACGAAAATGAAAATTTGCTTGATAATTCAACTACGCTTGTTGGAGAACAATAAAAACACTACACTCAACAAGCCACCAATAA